CGGGCAAGAAGGACCAGCTCGAAGGAAAAGAGGCGCAGTCCGCTGCCTTTGCTGCCAGATAAGAGGGCACATACTGACAGAGACTGTGAGCCAGCTGACACGTTACAAGTTCACACCCAGCTTATCTGGCCGTAGCTTGCTTTGTGCACCTGAAATGAGCTGAGGGAAAAGCCTACCAGGTTGCCCTACTACTTAGCACAGTGCTGAATTAATGAACCTGAGCTCGTACACAAGTCTGCATCACCAAAAATCTTTCCTTCCTTCATTGCATGCAGCACCATATACTCAGAATTACTCTTTCTACACAGTTCCATTTGGTCGATACTTAAGTACCCACCCAGGCTGATTTACCTTGATAGCACAGTCCATTTTCTACACATTTATTCATGAAGCTCTTATAACTGCTGGCTGGAAATACATCAAATTCAAATCTAATGCTATCCCGGTCAAAAAAAATCCACCCAAAACCACCAAAATACCCCCCTCTCTTTCCAAAGATGAGAATTTTATTCTGCTCTGAATAGTAAGCAAAGACTTAAATGCCTAAAAGAAAGGGAGTGATTCGAATTACAAAAAACCAACAAAACCCCCCAAAGGTTATGTTAATGTTAACAGGGGGAGCCCAGTCCTGTGAAAGGATCCATGATGGCAGAGTCCTGCCGTCAGCCCCTCAAGCCGGAGGCTGTGCTCCAGAGGAAGACCCATGAGGTGCGGATGAAGGCCAGAACGCTCTGTCACTTGAAAGACTGAGCTTCTGCTCCCACTCAGGGCTGTGAGGTGACACAAAGAGCATCGGTCCCCATCCTGCAGCGGCAGCAGGACAGCATCACGTGGAAACCAGGTGCAAGGTCAACCGTGAAAAAAGGGAGTAAGTAAGCACTCTGCAGTAAACACAAACCCAGACCTCTCAAGCTACAAAATGGAAGTTTTCTTCTTTTTGTGTGCATCTTCTCCACCCATACAGACTGTCGGTGGGGTGGCTGAAGACTCCCAGCAGGAGGGTTCACTCTGTCACCTCCCACTACACATCAGCTGCACGGTCATTTCTGTAAACATCTCATCTGGGCTGCAGGATTCATGAAGCTGTATTTGTATTGGGCTTTGCTTAGGTTTTGGCTCACCAAAGAAAGTGAGAAAGTCACTTTCAGAAAGTCATGTCAGAAAGTTAGTTAAGACCTCAAGTGGGCATCACTTCAGCCCATAACCAAGTTGTTGTGAAAGTCCTGAAAAGAAATCTCTGCTGCTCTGCAGCACTACCACATAGTTTTCTCTTCCATCTCCCTCTCCTTGAACTAAACAACCTGCACTTTAATATCCTTTGTTGGATGCAATGTACTGTTCTCATGTTGGGGAGCACCATTTGGATTTCAGGCTTTTTTGGGAAAGTCTGTTCTCAGATCCATGTGCCGTGGGTAAGCTCTCCCAGCATGGGTGGTTTTCTTCCCCACTGGCTGATGGGCAGTGTGTGTGTTTTGCTGCCACATCCTTCATCCACAAATGCAAAAGAGTCTAAGGGCTGCCCAGGGGGTTCCCCTTCCTCATAATCTCTCTCGCACATATGCATGGATTATCAGCGTCAGAAGAGCTGAAGACGTAAAGACCAAAAACATCTTCCAGAAATAAATTAATGTGCTGGAAGAAATTACTGCCTTCAGGAGCTGGGGATCTGCATATGTGACTCCGTTCAGAAACAACCACCACACTACCCTAACAGGAGTACACAAGCCGAATAACAACAGTGCCGATTCAGGTTAATCACGACGTTACGACCCATGTAGGGCTGGTTACTACAGTCCTTGTTCAGGTGGAATTACTGCTGAAATTCCTGCTTAAGTCCATGGGTTCACACATAATTATATTAATTGGACAAGTACTTCTGCATAGTATTCTGCCCTTAATCCCCATACAAAATTCCAGGTGACGGTTGAAATCCTTGCTGCTCCATGAAATACCGCTACTCTCCTTCAGAGTCCTCTGCAATGCAGAAATGCACATACGCACTTATACAGACACATGTTGTTCTGGCTATCCAGCCATGTTATGAGTCTCTTTCTGATCGGTGATCTTCTCTCAATTTCCATCTCCCCATTTTCTGCTGGGGAAGATGCCTGTCAGCACCTTCTGCTGTCGTTCTGCTCTATGGAAGTGAAAGGCTGACAACAGCATTGGTAAGGCCAAAGCTGGGAAGGTTGCTGATGGGTAAAAAGTTCCAGTAGGAGAATGTACTGGAAGACAGTCAGAATTTGGCAGGGAGCTTCCAGAAGCCCTTGCCTAGAATTTGTAAATTCTAATGTAAATGCCCTTCTAAAAAAAAAGACCAAAACTAGAAACAGTGCTGATACCTGCAGACAATTCGTAACGAGATGAAGATGAAGCAGTGTGATTTCTAACTTCTTAGTCTTCCTCTGCAAGCTTAGATAGCAGAGTTTTTCAAGGGGGAGGCAGGGAAAAAAAACCTGTTCTTGTGACCTCCAGAAAGAAATGGCTGACCCCACTCAACTGCAGCTTCCTGATAAAATTTATACACAAGGATTTTTTTATACACAAATTTATACTACAAAGACTGCACAAAGAAAGAAAGAAGAAAGAAAAGGCCCAGTCTCTGCATCCCCACCACTGACTGAAATGAACAGAAAGGAACCATTATCCAACTTCTGTCTAGAGAAGCACATACAGCAGCACTGACCTGGCGCTGTTTGGGATTGCAAGGACCTGGTACTTCAGGTTTTTTACAAACTGAGCTGCCACAGAGCAGCAACGCCACAAGGGCAAGAATTAAATTCACTGTCATTGCCCAGGGACTAGAAGAGATCCCAGGTTCATTGCAGCTGAAGATGTGATCCCTCAGATATTTATGATGTATCCAGGAATTCAGCCATCCCCCAAATATCTTTTTCCCTCAAGTACTTAAGTATCATCAGGAGCTCTGGGATAGGTGGCTGCACCTGAAAGGAATGTGAAGAACATTGTATAGGGAGATGCAATGCCCACAAAGACATAACCTGCAAGGACAGTCCCGGGCTACCAAGGTCTTCAAACGTAATGGCTTTCTCTCTGTGGCTGAGGAGGAAAGTCATCTGTCTATGTTAACGTCAAAGGGCGAGAGTATCCTTTTTCAGCATTAGCCTTTTTTCGGACTTCTTGCAGAGTGTCAGGCTGGGATACCATCAGGTCGATTAGCAAGTCTCCATTCATGGTAAAATATGGACAAAAAACAACTGAGGGATATTTGTTCCCTTGTCTGAAAGGAGCAGCTCAATTACTCCAGCCAGGAACTCCCAACCTCAGCAATATTCCTCTCCTTATTTTGAAATTTGTAAGTTGTGCCTCTTAAACATGCTGGGTTACACATACATTAACTAGAAAAGCACAGAAATAAATGAGGTCTAGCAGGTTTTGTAAACAAATGGATAAAGTGCCAATATGAAAGAAATGGATCGCTGAAAAGTTCAGAATGTTTTTCCATGCCAGCGGCTGTGATCTGCTCTCTCGGAACTCGGAGCCTCACTGCTGCTGAGATATGCCGCATTTGTCTTTTGCATGTTCACGGTCTGGCTCTTCAAATGATGTTGAAATGACAAATTTCAGGCCAAACTGTGCTGGCTACTAGCCAAGGATCAGACGAGCCCTCTCTGGCAACACTTTCATACATTTCTTACCCAAATGGGCAGCTTAAGCGAAAGCCTGCAAAGATAAAATTCAAAAATAAGAGGCAATGGGAAGGGGTCCAAGGCTGATTTTTTTTTTTTTCCCCTCATCTTGTAGCTATTAGAAGAAGGAACGCTCTAGTGTAGGCCTGAGTGGTCTACAAACGAGTTTAGTCAATGGTGTTCAGCAGACAGCCCCTGATGTGTGATACGCCATTGCAGGAAACCATGCCCCTGCCGTGAGGACTGAAGTCATGGTGCCATGAGAGAAGCCCCTTGATTAATTCCCAGCGGTAGTCAAGCAGTCACATCGTTGGCTCGGTGGGAAGGCTCCTTCCCAGTGCCTCCTGGGCAGGGAAGTCCAGAACGAAGCTTCTTCCAGCCATGCCACCCCGAGACGGCACAGAAGCCAACTCAGAGCCAGCAAGAGGTGGCTGGGCCTCGTGCATGTAGGCCCAGGCAAAAGGCAAGGCAGGACTGGGAAAGCAGAGCTGCTAGGCCAACCTCTGCCTGTTTCAGGAGCCTGTATTTACCTGGACTTACAGTTTCAGCCATTTAAAGGGAAGTGAAGAAGCAAAGTGCAGTCAGAGGGCAGCAGACCCCGAGGAGATCCCCACTAGAGACAGATCGGAGGAAATAAGCAGGGAGAAGAGGCATCTCCTGTCTGGCATCCTATCTGATATTGGCCATAGAGGAATGAAGAAGAATGACAGCGTTAAAAAGGAGATCACATCCTCCAAAGTTTAGCCAATCTGTCAAGAAAAGCCATCCTCCACAGCAGTAGCAGAAGATAGAAAGAAGCAAGAAATGTGATCTCAGTATGACTTGTTTAGATCTTAAAGAGCCTTCCTCTTCCTCTCTCCCGCTTTCATCAGCTCCTGTGAAGAAAAGTCACACCAGCTGTCTAGATGACGGGGACCGGCCTGCGCACAGAAGAAAGGACAACGAATAGGTCGCCTCAAATCACAAACTGCAACATAGACAAAGATAAAACCTTATGATTGACCTGGTCAATCCCATTCCTCAAGCAAAAAAAGTCTTCTTCCGAAGGTTGCACAAAGGGGAAACTTCTCTGCACTGCAATAGGAATGCAGCTGATTTAAAAAAAATGGAGTTGATGTATCCTGTATCGTGTTAAGTAAACTTTCATAAATAAAGCAGCTTATATCAGCTTTAAGTTATATTTGCTTTCCTGTCCCTGTTAAGTGTTAAAAGATCATGGTATTCAGAGGAAGAACAGAGGTGTCATTATTTTTGAGGCTCAATAACGCATGTTATACACCACAGAAGCTTATATTTCCCCAACATACAGGAATATGAGTCTATATTTGATTAACATAAAAAGACCCTTACCAGAAAGTGAGTAATCTGTATTAGTCATCCTCATGGCTGGTGTATAAGATACACTTGGCATGTCATGGCCCTTCTCCTTCTGTTTCCGTCGATACCACACAAACAGTGCCAGCAAGACCATAATAATTAGAAGGAGAATAATAATTCCAATGATTGCTCCCACTGAGTGCCTCTCTGATCCAAGAGCAGGGCTAATTTTAGTATAGGGGTTTAATTCTTCCATCATAAGAGCCGCTGTTAAAAGTAATTCATAACACACTGTAAATTGAATCATGCATTTCATGTTTGAAAGACTATTTTTTTTAAAGTAAGTACATCATTGGAGGGGAAGAGAGAAAGAGAGAGAGAGGGAGATTTTACAGATAGAATTTCACTGTACCTTGATCACATCGGATTCCTTTGAAGCCTGGACTGCAGTAGCAAGTACCTGTGACGTGGTCACACGTAGCATTATTCATGCACTCACATAACTGTTTGCAACCGTAACCAAATGTTCCTGGTGAGCACTCTGGGAAGCCAAAGAAAAAGATTGGAAAGAATTCTGCTTTTTTCGGGAATGGGTGAAATGCTTGCCATGGAAAATTCAGTAGAAAAGTCTTCTTGGTTTCAGTGTCCCTAGGATAACACTCCAGTGTTAGATTATTATTATTATTATAAAGCAGGAGATGTATTTCATGTACAATTTGGGTTATTACTTATTAAGCTGTAACTTTCAGGAAAAGTCATACAAGACTTCACAAGGATGAAACCAATAATATATACAGAGACTTTAAAAAGGCTTGATATATATTACAAGTGTACAGAATTTAACAAGGCACGAGCCCAGAAGCTGTAGCCAACGTCGTGAAAGAGCACAGTGTTCTCCACCAACTCTGCATATTTTTTCCATGGGGATAGTCGCAAGGAAAAGTTTTAATGTACCTTTATATGAACACAATAGACTTTTACCAAACAAATCCTGCATGCTTTCATACTTATCCCTACTAGTGCTAGAAAATGAATATAACATTGTAGGTGGAATTGCAGAATCGAGCATCTGAATGGTTTGATTTGCTCTGCTCCTGTATTAGGATTCCTAATATAGGAGGAATTTCTACCCTGTCTTTGTATTTCTATCAAAGACAAAATGATTGAATGTCCAGCTGAGAAATTTATTCATGCAATTACCATGATGGGCTATTACAATAAATCTGTAGGCAGCTTCCTACACTACTTGAGGCATTATTCAATAATAAATTGAAAGAAACAACTTCTGTCACATCCTACTTATCTCTATGGAGAAGACACATTATTGAATGCATGCACACTTGCTATGATTCTTTAGAACATGTATTGTTTGTTTTAGGATGTGACTTCTTGTGTGTCACTGAAAACGTTTTGCATAACATGACGATACCTTCCCAAAATCAGTCTCCAAGTAACTTCTTGTAGCCAAAATTTAATATTAAGTAACAAACAGCAGCCAGTATCTGTATAATGATTTGCAGCGCGTATGAAAGTTGTATCTCTTTCTTTCATCTGCAGGTCCCCAAACAAGGAAAAATAAAATTATTACAATTAATGCTGAGTCTGATATTAACCTGTAGCCTACTTAAAATGAAAAAGGCCTAAATTTTTGGACTGCACCACAGAAACGATGTCAGTCTGCATTTAGGCATTTCATCTGCAATGCGGTGTGACTGCCCATTCAG